TTTTGTTTTTCTTTACATTGTGCGATGTAGCGCCGCCTTTTACGAGCTGGATTAAATGAATACAATTCATAATCACCAGTGTAAACTCATAACACTTCTCAAGTAAGTTTATGACAGTAACAGACATCTTTTTCGGAGGCGGTCAGTGCCTAGTATTACAAAACAATGCGGATTTAAGCTTCCAAAAAGATGTCTTCAATGTGAGTGGTGAAAGGCACGTGGTCGTTTCGCAACGTTTATGGAAAGGAACCTTGTGACGTAGTGAGGGGGGGGGGCAACTATAATATTCTTAATAAAAGCTAGCCTTCAAATGTGACAAAAATCTACTAATTTACCCAGGAAGTTAGATACGTGGGTTGATGATAATATGAAGAACATTATCTTCGTATTTTTAGCAACGCTAGATATTTAGAAAGAGGACTATTGTAACATTGATATAAAAAACAGTCGAAGGCACAAAGAAAATACTTAGTTTAATTTCTTGATGGAAAGGTCAATTAACCATATTATCTGTGGAGTGAAGTGAAAGAAGTATCAATTTAATTAATTGTATCACATACTCTTAAAGGCCCATTCACAATGCAAACGTAAATATAAGCATTTATGTAAGTGATAGACTGAAGTATTCACAATGTGTAACATTAACTTAAGCAAAATAAATTTATATTTGCTGTGAGATATTCTAGTTACTATTGGTTGGACGTGAGAATCAATTTCGATATAGACTGTGCCCATAGCCAATATGGCGTTAGTTCGTCTATCGACTTCACTCCTATTTCCATTTTCGAATTTGAGTTACCGGTGGTTGGTTACCGGTGATTGGTTAATTACTTATGACTTGAATTACAGAAGCTTGAAGCTCGCGAACTTTTAAGTCAACGTGTTACGTGTTATGTTTATGCGAACGCATTGTGAATGAGCCCGATTGTAGACGTAGTCCTAATTTTTATGTTAACGCCATGCTTATGTTTATGTTTGCATTGTGAATGGGCCTTTGTTCATATAAATATTCCGTACGTTTAATACTAAATTGAAACAGCTTGACACTTTTTTAATTTGAATTTAATCCGCTATGAAGGTCATATGTACATATCTGGCACATAGTAAGATGTGAAGGGATACTTCTGTTTCTCTTCGTCTGTGCTCTGTGAAAGTATCGACTCGAATACCTATAAGATCTGTGAAAGTAACGAGGGGTGACGCTCTAGCAGACGCTGCAGCTAAACAGCAAGTAGACATTTCTATTGCATTTAATCTCTCGAATTCACCTCGGTGTCCCACTTTGTAACGTACCACACTTATGTAGAACTGTTTGGAGATTACAATGGTACGGTACTTTTTCTCATTTTTTAAACTGTCAATTATTGAGAAAAAATTTAAAAAAAGATAGGTCAACAATTTAAAAAATGTAATGAATTCAATACATATATCAAATGAAAGAGTATCTTTTGTTTGTTAAAACCGCAAAATATTACATTTCTGTTACAATTACAATACGAGTTAAAATGATTAACTTTAACAATGGGTGCATTTTATCGAAAATTTAAAAAATAATATAATTTCAAAAAAAAAAATATTTGAAAAAAAAGAAAAACATGTGTTTTATATTTTTGCTAGAACTCATCATTGAACAAAAGTTTAAAAATCTGGAACATCAAATTCAAATTTTCCTTAAATTTGTGCGATTTGACGTGAAATGACCTATATGCGTTTTTTATATCATGAAATAGAGACCATGTAAAATACAGGCCATATGAAAAAAGACCAATAAAAATAAAGCTAAAAGGTTTATTTTAAATTACATTTTGCATGAATAACAATAACGGGTGAAATCGACGAAGCGCTTTTGCACGTTTAGGTCGAAACGCACAAATCGCACTGGAAGAAGTTCCAAATAGTGGCTACAGTGCTGCTACATTGAAATTGTCATCAGCTGTTCTGTGACCTTCATTTGGGACATGTAAATTTTCATAACCCATTTGATAATAAATAAAATTAGTATTAAGTCGTCCGGATGACCGAGATTAACGCTGTAGAGCTGTTGCTAACTCGGACTGAAGGATCGCGGGTTCGAGTTCCGTCTCGGGCATGGTTGTATTTGTGTTCGAGCTTTCTCCCCTCACCAATCACATCATACTGTTAACCATATCGTTAATGACTTATCTGTTAATCAGGCTTTAAATTTAAAAAAAAGTATTACATTTTGTACCCATTTTAATTCTAGTATTCTTACATAAAATGTGTAAAACAAATGAAGTACATTCACTATGTTATCAAAAGTATCCGGATACGCCCAAAACAGTGTTTTGGAGTGGTCGTATTTTTCATGGAGGGGGCTTGCACCCCTCGTTGTTTTGTGAGGCACTATCACTGCACAGATCTAAGTAGATGTTTTAAACACCTTTTTGCATCGCACTATTGAAAAGCAATTCGGGGATGGCGATTGCATCTTTCAACATGATCGAGCACCTGTTCATTCTGCACGGCCTGTGGCGGAGTGATTACCCGACAATAACATCCCTGTAATGGACTGGCCTCCTGTCAGACAGAGTTCTGACTTGAATCGTATCGAACACCTTTGGGATGTTTCCGACTTCGCGCCAGGTCTCACCGACCTACATCGATACCTCTCCTCAGTGCAGCACTTCGTGAAGAATATGCTGCCCAAGAAACCTTCCAGCACCTGATTGAAAGTATGCCAGCGAGAGAGGAAGCTGTCATCAAGGCTAAGGGTGGGCCACCACCCTACTGAATTGCAGCATTACCGATAGAGTGCACCACGAACTGGTAAGTCAATTTGAGCCACGTGTCCGGATACTTTTGATAACATAGTGTATGCGGATTTAAATATGAAATGTAATATTATCAGTGCCGACATAGGCAGACCGGGCGTTCGCACGGGGCCTTGCAAGTCTAGGGATCCGATCATGGAACTGACAAAAAAGAAAAAAATTAAAACTCGAGAAAATCGTTATTGTAATTTTATAAGTCGCGGTACAGTAGTCTGATATTTCATAAAATTTTGGATTTTTTTTTACCTTAAATGTGATTATAGTCATTTATTTATGTCTTAGTGATTATATTGAGATGATATTAATATGATTATATTCATTTATTTATGATTATAGTAATTTAATAAGGTAGGTTTTTATGAAATAAATCAAATGACACTAACATTAAAACAAGTTCTGCTGAAATTCATATTAATTTCATGTATTTAACAAGTAATTTTATTAAACACCAACTAAACAATTGTTTTAGCGTTTTAAGATCACCGTCGAAATTGAGTAATTATTGAATTGAATAGACACCTTATTTTACGTGGCCATCAGGCCCACTCTTCCGTCTGACCACGCACATTTTTCTACGCTCCTTTCACCAACTAACAGAGAAAGGAGGTATTTCTTGGGCGAGAAAGAGGCGATTTGAATTCCACTCCGAAGGCGTACAAAGGACTTTTTCGCCCTTGAAAATCCACGGCTTCGATCGGGTTTGAACCCACCAGTCCGATACACTAACCGTTACGTCATCGCCACCATAAAAGGAACAAGGGCTGAATGTGAGAAATACAAATCTTTAATTCATTTTGTTAACAAAAGTATTCAGAAATATTTTAGAATCATATATTTTCTGTTCACAAATAATGTGCCAACTTGATTAACATAGCCTACACCTTGATATGATACACTGACAAACATGTTAAGATCCACACAACACCCACTTTCATTGATTACATGATTCAAAATCCCATTACATTCATGGTAGCTTTCAAAATTACAACGTATTAGTATTCTATGACTAAGAAACCTAAATTTAGAATATCCTAATGGAAGGAAATTACAGAAGCTCTCTTCAGAATTCAGATTTAATGATAAATTAGTACTAGAGAGGTACTTCACAGTTCATGGGTGTGGTTTAAGTCAACTGATCTAAACTTTTGGTAAATTTGTAAGCATATGAAGAAATACAAATTAAATGGTCTAAAAAAATTCTTCCTATGAATACTGATTTATATCATTTGACCCACAAACTAGAAATGATACTCTTATTTGAATGACATTTCTTCTTCTGCAATAGTAATTCACTTAGACCTAACCAATGAATTCACTACACACTTTACAGATTTCCACTGATACTTTGCCTATGTCTTGTGAAGCCTTTACTACGTATCAAATGAATTACAACTGATGATTTCGGGCAATTGAAACTTGTGAAGCTTCAACTTTAATTCAATCAGTTGACAAACACGGAAAGACTGGGCAATAATAGCACCGTGGAAATAGCAACACACCCTGCCACCATAGTCGGGAATAAATTCCATATAAAATGGGAGAATGATTGATTATAAGGGGTGCATTATCTTACAATTAATGAGAGTTTTGCGATGACCACGCGCGACACTTCGGATGCCGTAGTTGCGTGGTGCGCGCGGAGCTGCTCGGAGGCGCTCGACTGCTCTGCAGGCAACCGAGAGCCGAAAGGCGGCAGGTCGAAGTGCCCTGTGTTGAACAGCTATCTCTTCCCCTTCCGCCGATCGTCGGCGCAGAGAGTCGCGAGGTTGTTTTCGTCAGGATGCAGAGCTGTACTACCCGTCGTAGAGTCCAACCCACTCGGGTGCCAGGGTTTACACGCAGATACAGCCGCGCCGTGGATTCCCGCACACCCTGGATTTCAGTACAAGTAGTCCGAACCGATTGATGGTGCAGAGACTACCCCTCAGAGCTCACAAGTGATAGCTAACACGGCTAGAACGGGGCTACCCACCATCGGGCGTGGCATCAAGACGGAAGTGGGGAACGCATAAACAGACTCCCAACCCCTTCGATAGGGGTCACCATGTACGGCAAACATATGGGTGGGCGTTCGGCGTACAGAGAAGGCCAGTGAGGAAGGAAAAGAGGGTTATTAAAGAATGTAAGTGACATGAAATTAAAAGCAAGGAGATGAAAGATGGAGAAATCGTAATTTTCACAATTCACTCTCCTATGAATACATAAAAGAACAAGAAGAGAAAAGATATTTTATTGAAGTATTTTGGCGTAATATACATTTACAAAAACAATAATACTTTTGCTTATTCATGTAATATCTCTGCAACTTATTTCTTGTGGATTTGTCGTTCTCCTTGTTTTGGCATTAACTGATGTCACAAGGCCTGAACCAATAATCTGAAAATCTTCTAATATAGCATCCAAGTTCAAAACCATCTGTGACTTCTGAACTGGTTTGTGGCCACCAATAAGAGACACCTGAAAACATGTTCACATATTAACGTGTTATACTGAAGTTCAGAAAAAACACAGTACCTACTACCTTCAAAACACAACCTTTAAAAATATATACTAACATATAAAACTAAATCCTCATTCGATCCAGCTAAAAACAACAGAATTGTCATGTGTTTTTCAATATAATTTTGCCGTTTATAACAATTATCCACTAAGTTTTGGAATATAAACCTATGATATAATAGTACATTCTTCAAAGAGCGTAGAATAAATTCAGACATATAATAATTCCAACCAGAATATATATTACGACCACCTCTAACGCTGCTGACATCATCACACCCAGTGACGATCCCAAGCGCAAGATGGTCATTCTACCTTATATTCGAGGGGTCACTGATAAAATTGACAGACAAGCTTCTGAGCCGCTTCGACATCAAGACACCCTACAAAACTCATTAAAAACTCGGACAAAAGGTTGTACGTGTGAGAGATTGCGTACCTCCTCTCATGTCATTAGGGGTATACGACATCCCATGCAGCTGCGGCCAGTTACATTGGCGAGACGGGACGGGGCATAGAGGAACGCCTCCGGAAACACATTCGCTATTTTAAGTACAATAATGCAGATAAATCGGCCGTAGCCCCAAACGAATGAAAAATTGGCCACGCCATTTTATTTTATGACACCCGCTTCCTAGCCAGAGAAGACCGCTTGGGAACGAGAAGCGTTAAAGAGGCAATGGAAATTATTAAATATCCCCAAAACCTCAATGCTGATCAAGGCCTACGACTCCACGATGCCTGGAAGCATCTATTTTACCAGGATGCCTGGTCAAGACCAGACACGGTGTCCGCTGCTCCACGCCGTTCGATTACACGCGTAGAGCCTTCTACCACCCAACCCGGGGAGTCCGCTCCCTGATTGGCCGTTGCACTTTCTCTGCATTGGCTGATCATCCAACGAATTAGCAGACAGGGGGGAGAAACTACATAAATCCGCGCGCAGTCCATCTCCGCGCAATATCTACGCCCTGATGAAGGTCGCAGAATGGCGACCGTAACGTTGGCAATGGACAATTTGTTCTTCTCAAAAACCGTTCCAAATTTTTTCTTTAAATATTCTTCACTTATGTAATAAGTGTAGGTAAAAATATGGTGCTGGTCCCATTTTCTGCAATCGGTCAGTTTTTTGAAAATTTCAAAAATCATTTTAAAACTACAGCCCAGCAATAATTTTTTCTGATGCAAAATTGCATTTTCCCAGCGCAAGATTACAATCCTTTGTCTTTTACCGAAGTAAGGCAACAAAGTAAACTAGAGAAGCTACACCAGCACATACTTTCTCACATTGGGAAAGGATATGTAATATAAGATTGCAATATCTGGTCTAATTACAGACAGCACTAGAAAAGAAAAATATTCAAACAAAGCACTTGCAGTGTGTATGTGCAATTATAGTCAGGAATGGTAGCTCTTTCTTACTCCAACAAAAGAAATAAGCATGATTCTATCTGAACTATTATATTTGCAGCACAGTAAGCAGACAAGCAAGGACAATTTCACATATATTGAACATCCTGAACGGAAGGCTATCCAATATATGGCCTTATGAATGCATAAGAAACAACAGTATCATTACATATCTGTAGATCTGTATACGTCTTCTTTTCCACCTTAAAATAAATGAATGTACAATTTTACTGAACATATAGACATTGCACTATTAAATAAAGCCCTCTTATCTGATATCTCTCCCATGCATGTCCCCATCCAATCATGCAATTCTCAGAATAACTTCTCAATCTGTAATAGCCCAGCACTGTATGACAATGCTGCGTAAACATGTTTTTAGATGTGCTGATTTTTTGGTACATATTATTGTTTAATGCAAAAATCTCTATCTCCAATTTTGTAGTTTTCAAAAGTTACGCTTTCAAAAATAGAGTGTGTTCAACGAAAGTGAGACCTGCGCCATTCTTGACTTGATTGACAATATGACGTCAAAATTCATTTTGTAACATCATAGATATGGTCTGAATCATTACCCCATTAGATGTGTTAATAATATCATCTTCAAATATTCACTTCTGTAAGGTGTATTTATTAAATTAAATTGTTAAATTTGCTTTAATAGATTGAGGAAAACAAAACTTACTTTGAAATCTTGTGTTTGGGTAATCAAGGGTTTCCACACAACACCAATGATATTTCCTCCATACTGATCATGGAAAAACAAAGCATAATTGCCATATCCTTCCTAAAGGAAAAAAATAAATTAGATCTTATTCTAATTATTCAATTTTTGAAAAAACAAGGAAATAACAAAAAATATTTTCACCCTCAGTTCAGCAAGGTAAAACTGTACAGGATCAAAGTCCACTATTGGAATTGGTTCTTCCAGCTGGTTCCGATATCCTCTTAATGGACAAAAATTACCAGTGTCTTTTGGGTCAATACTTTGATGAATACGATTTAACTTTGCTATTTTCAACTTAATTATGACATCGTACTCCTCCAGATTGGGTCTGAAAATTGGCTGTAACAAAATAAGGTAGTGAAGGTTTGACTTCAGACAATGCGATGCAATAGTTAATAACAATTACAAATATTATTCACAATCATGGGTTCACAAAGATTGATGATGTATTAATGTATTGATATATTAAAGCTAAATCGGTTCTGTGTATTCTTGATTTGAGTGATTATGCAACAGGAATTAATGTTGAATCAGCAAGTAAGTTAAACAAATATAATATTATAACTACAACTGGGAAGTTCATGCAATTGCAAGTGTTTTATTAATGGATATATTTTTCTGAAACTTCAAATGTGTATGTTTCATGGCATAATATTAAAAATAAGATAAGAAATGTTTTGCATACATGCGGCATATTTTGCATATTTGTTTGACTTTTGCCTAAATTAAAACAAAAATATGAATTTCCATGTAAAAAATATTTATTAATGGAAAGCATGAACTTTATTGTTGCTTCAAATATGTTAGTACAATGAGTTTCAGACTACTGAAGGCCAATGCCACCAAAGTAAATTCTGCTGTGATTGGTTCATAAAAAAGACATAAAATTCAAGCAAAACCTCAGTAGATGCACTTGTAATTATTCAGGAGGTAAGGGATACATTCATGAGTTGAGAAAGTAAATAGGAAGAAAACAAATGAAATTTTTGGAAAGAATCTAAGGCTTCATACTTTACAGACAATGGCTAAACGTTTGGAAGAAAATAGTGTTTGTCTTCCATACAATGTATAGAACACAAACATTTTCTAGTCTCCCATAACATCATGTGTTGTCAAAAAATAATTTTCTATGTACAAAATTATATAGTCTGATAGAAAACACTTCTTAACAACAAATAACCTCAATATAATTCTTGTGGCTTTCTGTCCTCTTAATGCAAACTAAATTGTGCAGAAGTAGATACTAATCTGTTTTTAATTTGCATATTCCCAGTCTCTAGATGGCAAAAATATATAATGTCATAGTAAAATATGTTTGTGTGACCAAATGCTGCAAATCCTAACAATTTCTGTGCATGTTTCAACATTTTTTAGACATATTTGCATGCATATTTCAGGACTAAAAGCTTGCATTAATTTCCCTGCTCTCATTATAACAAAAGATAGACATTGAGTAATAACCCACCCAAATTGTTAGACATTATAGGTAATGTGAACTAGAATTTCATTTATGAGGGTACATGTATTCAGGATAAAGAATACACTTGAAAAATCTAAGAAAAGCATTAGAAGGAAACGTATAAAGAAACCTAGAAAAACCTGATTAATAACAAATTTAATGAGGTCATGTAAAAATAAAAGTAACTTATTTAAGAAAATGAAAGCCAATCCATCAAAAATATTGAAATTAGAGATAAATACAAAACATATAATAACATCTTGGGATTTATGTTAAAAATTGCTAAAGAAAAATATTGTAAGGAATAGATATTGAAAGGATTTGGGTATGTTAAATCGCTAGGGATTTTTATAAATAGTAGTTTGGGGAAAAATAGAACAGAACGAAAAATCTATTAAAACATTATTTTCAGAACAAACAAAAACTTTTATTAATGATGAAACTGAAATTACTATCTATTACGTTGAATTAAGGCAAAAATAGCACGTAAAATTGAAACTGATCCTTTTAATAATGCTCATTAGGAAAATGATGAATGTGGATTCTTTATTTCTATTCCCTTCTAATGCACATGAAATTAAAAAAATAGAGACTTTTAAATACTAAGAAGTCAGCTAGTTTAGATTATATTCCTGCAAGAGCAATTAAATATACTGAAAGATGTAGTGTTAATCACAATTTAATTTTCAATTATCTACCTACCTCCTATGTAGAAACAACAACAACAACAACAACAACAACACTTACCAAAAGGTATGGTTGTTTTGACACTAGAAGCTGTTCCTGGAACATTTTTAAAGCTTCTGATGCGAGAGTCCCAAGGCGCATTAACATCTGCAGTGTTGGAGCAGTACGTGTGCACTGTGACACTGAGCGATCATATGGTGTAGCCAAGAAAAGAGGTGGTAGCGATTGCCTGGAGGAGTGAAATTGTGTTTCCAATTCTGCAATTCGTTCACCTATAAAGAATATAAGTACAATAATAATATAAATGTATATATACATATGTGTATATATATTAAAAAAAGTTCCATGAAATCACAACAAGTTTACATACACTAATTTTTTTATGGAGTAAATTAATTTGTTTTCATTATGTCTACATTGTGTAACTTAAATCTTATCCTTAACTTAATCTTTAAAAAGAAAAGAATACATTAAGTTCAAATGACAATAAGACAACACACCTTCAAGAAATATTTAGAACTAGATAAATAATAATGTATATATATAATGTATAATAATAAATAAATCTGTAATGTGTGTGTTTTAAAGCAGCCACAACATGAAATTACTACAAATTGTGTGTCTGTGTGTGTGCACGCACGTGCGTGTGTAGACATGAAAGAGTGTGTGTCTGCACGTGATCTTCCCCACCTTTCTTTATTTCTTTCAAGCATAACATGTGCAGGCTATGAATCAATAAGTATGTGATGCTATAGGTCAATCAGGACTAAGCTCTGACCAGAATCAAAAGAAGTCAAACAAATTAAATCTTAAATTCATTGTTATTCACATTGAAATATAACATGATTGTTGAAAAATTTAATATGGCAATGAGAATACCTATTTATATTGCAGATAACATGAATTTTTGAGAACGTACATCCTTTAGTAGATATGTTAAATAACGAACAATTGTTCTGATGTGGAATAGAAATAACCACAGGGGATTGACGATTTGAAAAGTTCACAAACAAATGTGCTGGGGGTGTTGTTTTCAACAACAAATTCAGCATGCTACAAGGCTCTGCAAATACTTGAAACCAGCCAAGAACACAACCACAATTTAAAAGGAATGGTGGCAATAACCTCATCATGGAGAACAGACTGCATTGTTTTTGTAAGGACAGAAAGCAAAAGGTAGTTTCTTTCCTGGACATCCTACATAAGAAAGCAAAAAAAAAAAAATTATCTTCAATAATGAAGTTGAGTGAGAGAGTCAAACAAATTTTGAACTTTTGCAATTTTTACAAACAATAATTAATATGACTCATATATATTTATTTCAAAAATCTATTTCTAAAATTGTTGACTCCCATTTTGAATCTTGAAATAGTATCAGTGAAAAGGGAATATCATAGACAGCTAGCTCTGTTCTTGAAAGACATTGGGAGCCATACTCAAAAGTATTGTGAGATTCCTCACGAGCAAAAAAGCCCATCGGCATAAATAAAAAGACTTCAAAAATCTTGACTGGTATCGTCTTCCTTTTTATTTAGATTTTTAACACTACAATGCCCTGGAGCTCACGCTTCACAGAAAGATAAAACACAACCATTACTTCATGTTGCCCAGGCTAGCAGTTTCTGTCAAGGTTGATTGAAATCGGTACCAGAGAGGAGAGAGTGGAGAGAGAGAGAGGAGAGAGAGGGGAGAGAGAGAGAGGAGAGAGGGAGGGGATTGGTACCAGAGGGGGGAGAGAGAGAGAGGAGAGAGGGAGGGGATTGGTACCAGAGGGGGGAGAGAGAGAGAGGAGAGAGGGGGGATTGACCCAGACGGGCGGAGGAGAGAGGGAGAGAGGAGGATGCCGCAGAGGAGAGAGAGGGACGAGAGAGAGGCAGGAGAGAGGAGAGAGAGAGGGAAGAGAAAGAGGGAGAGAGAGGGAGAGAGAGAGGGAGAGAGAGAGGGAGAGAGAGAGGGAGGGAGAGAGGGAGGGAGATGGAGAGAGAGGGGGAGAGAGGGAGAGAGACAGAGAGGGAGGGAGAGAGAGAGGGGGGTGCGTGTGTGCATGAGTGTGTTTGAAAGTTGGTTTGAACATTTTGTTCCTCAGACAACAGGGAGTCACAGATTAGTAGGGTGACACCATCATGGGCACGGAGTCTGTCACCTTGATCAAACCGATAGAAGTTAAACCCGCGAAGACAAAGGGGCTGATGGGGACAAAGAGGAGTGACCTGAAGGCAGACTATAGATTATATATGGTGAGAAATTATCGATCTCAATTCTTCTGAATGTGCACAAAAGCCGTTTAGATTCCACAAAAAGAGTCATTGTAGGGAATTACTTATCTGTCTCTTTTTCTTTCTCACCTGAAAAGTTGTATATGAACTCTTGTGGTGCTCCTCGTCAACAGCAGTCATGATTGGCTGACTGTTGCTGGAGATGGTCGCCTGTGTGGTGGGGAATTTCCCATTTTTTTTCACAGGCAACCAAGATCTACATGGGCAGGAGGATTGCTCAATGCAAGTCTTAGGAGTAGTAAGAGGATGAGATTTCGATAAAGAATTTTTGTTCAGAAGCAATATCTGACTGGAATCTATATCCGTAAGGGGTTCAGTAGAAATGATCTGTTGCTAATGAAGTTTTTGGCTTGGTTTTTTGAACTTTGTTGGTAATGTTACCTTTCCACCTTGGATGAACACTGTATCATTAGGGAAGTCAATAGGCAACATCTGACAACTGAAGTGCGCTACTAGAGCAGGAGCATGTTGTGTTTGACAACTTACTGTTACTCCTGAGGACTTGGTCTTTAAAGTACTAGAAAAGGATCATGACAGTTCTACTGGATTTCTAGCCTGGTGACAGTGTATGGCCTCAGGAAAGGAAACCTTTTTCAGTGACTCTAATCTTCTGAATCTCTCTTTCCCCAAAAAAGGTAGGGCTCTTGTCGTTGGCTGGATGGCCACCTTCACAATTGACACAGTTCAGTGGTGTAGCGCACCCATGTGGATCATGCACTGATGCATTGCACTTCCCGCACACTGGGCTAACCGACATACCTCAATGGGTAAGCCCAAACTTTTGACACTTAAAACAGTGCAAAGCAATTGGTCGCACATGGAGGTTGCCACTGATCCTTTCCGGAAGAGACATAAGGTCAACTGTAAGTTCAGGTTTGAAGTAGGGATCACTTTGCCATACTCTTTCCTTTAGATCCTATAGACATCAGTCATGCTCTGTCTCTTGAAAATGTTATTAGTTCCTCTTCATTTTTGGAAGCAAAGTTTGCGTGGTTCACTATGCCTTTGCACAGGTTCAAAGTTGAGTGCATCGTCACTACTACCCAGAGACCATCAATCAGCTTGGTTTTTAATAATTTCTCTATCTGCTCGTCGATACATGCTTCAAAGAGAATCATTCCATTTCTCTGTCACACAACCATTTGTAGCTTCCCATATGCTTCCTCTATTTCTTGTGCCAGCCAGCACTCACATTTTTAAACATTTTTCTTCCTCGGCTCGTGCCATGAGAAGGAAATGAGGCATTTGCAGTAGGTCATCTTTCGCACAAAAAACTATTTAAATCAATAGTTCTTTTCGGATATCTCCTCTTCCTTGCAGAAGAGGGTGGGAGAGAAGGTTTAGTATCCATGGAGATGAATACAAGATTCATTCCTGTGGTCCACACCCACCACGGAGACCAACAAGGGGACACTCCATCACAGTGCCAGGGTTGGCATGGAGATATAGTGGGGGGATGACACAGCGCTGCCATGCCGTGGGTCCCCCCGAATTTCAGTACACTACCTAGGCCGAGCTGATTGATTGGGAGTAGGTTAGCTCCTGACCGCCCCTCTGGAAGAGTCCGAGGCTAAAGCAAGTATTTAGAAACCTACAAGGAATGTTCCCCAAAATACGTAAACGACATACCCCTTAGTGCAAAGTAGAAAGTAGCACAAGAAGTAGTTGGAAAACAGGCAGGTCCCTCAACTGTCAGGACACCCCCCATCCAACATGGGTTGCCATGCGCGGCAAACACATGGGTGCGCGTTCAGCATACAGAGGGGCCAGTGAAGTAGAAGAGGTAGAAGAAAAGAGAGAGGACGTTATCAAAGAACGAAGGGAAAGATAAAGATTACTGATGAAAGAAAAGAATATTCAGAGCCCTCACTGCATCCCCTGACAGGACGTGGGCCCCCTCAACAGGCTAAATGATTAGACTCGTCAGATAATTTCACTACAAGACTGTTTACAACACATTACATCTACAAAAGGAATGCGTATTTTAAGAATTTCATTCTATTTGTGCTATGAGTAGGCACTTTTAAGTCACTGTATTGAACTTTTCAAAAGATTAAGTTTCATTTTAAAGTCACCAACATGTGTTTTATGAGGCTTTAAACTTGATTACTGATATTTCAAATTTTTAAACAGTGCTGCATTCTGGCTGCCTTGGATTATCCTACGTTGATGACACTGATGGAACAGAAACACGCATCTCACTGATTATGTAAAGGCTAATCTCCTTAGGCCATAATAAACATTTTCTGACATTATATAAATCACATAATAACAATAATAATAATAATAATAATAATAATAATAATAATAATAATAATAATAATAAACTCACGTGTGAATTCTGAATTTAAATTGACAATTATTGGTACTGTGAGCCAATCTGTAGAGCTTACCAATCTCAGAAAATGTAATAAACCCAACTGAGATTGAACAGGTGGATAAAATGGCTCAGGAGACACAAAAAGGTAAGCAACTAATAACTCAATTACAAGATCAGGAAAATGTGGAGGGCCCATTAATTGCGATGACAACCACCGTTTGGCAAGACAAACAGTGGGACCAGATCCTGGAAATTGTTGGTGAAGTCTGAAACAATTTGTGGACAAGACAAAATAATGGAGGATTTTAATAATGAAAATATAAGGTGCAAAAAATATTTAGTGCAAAAGCATACAAACCCATGAAGAGAACTTGTAAGTTTGGGCAGTAAAACTAGCTTCTGCTCAAGAGCCATAGTTTCAGGAGTGTCATGGTACCCAACTACGCCAAGGGCATCTACTCGTTGTTTCATTAGTGATACTTCTTTCAAGGCTGCTAACCAAATTCTGAATACAAAGCCATCCTGTGAATAAAAGAAATCTGTTACACAAGTACAATAATGCATTTTCCCATTTTCTTAACAATTTTGATGAAACTACAACGTAAAAGAAACATGAGATTTATGCTTTAATATCACGTTTACAATACAATATAATGTAATTACTATTTCAGTAGACATGCAACAGCAATCTAAACTAAAAATGTGTTTTTTATAGACAACTCCCAACTACAAAACCGTATTGTTTAGGAACATAATCTCAAAATAGTGTAACAATTTATATGCTACACTAGATTGTATTTGGGTCCACAATTGATATTCTATCCATTGAACACTTATGAAATAATTAGTAGATTATATTTACATACTACACTGTTTATTTGAGGGGGAGAGAGGGGGGGAGAGAGAGGGAGAGATACAGAAAAATGAGACGAAAACTAAAATACAAGGCTGTTGATGGGCTTTGCTTGGCCACATCAGTCACAAATGTCGTTAAATTTTTAGGGAAGGTAACTAATAGGGAACTCTGAGAAAATTCTCCATTCACAACTGATCTACAACTAATTTGAGGGAACAATGTTTAAATCTATTTGTGTACAGTGATATTACTTCTATGTATTCATGCAAATTTATAAACATACCTTCCAAATATCTACAAAGTCAATATGGGCTTGTGCACAGAGTTTACATTCTTTCCGAAGTGCTTTTGCCATCTGAACGCAGAAGGCTGCTTTCAATCGCCGGACAGCTTCCAAATTTTGAGGCCATTTTCCACTTAGTTCTAGCGTCATCACAGCTAATTAACAAAATATACAATTTAAATTCAATATATTATGAATAAAAGAAAAATAACAATAAACTATACCATTTACAATAGTGACTTACCTTCAACTGGTGCATGATACTGAGGAAGATTTTTACAACTTGAAAAATTCAATGAATTTTCATTACTGCTTGAATTTGTTTCTTTTTTTCTTCTTTGGACCACAGGTGGAAAAACATCAGCATAACGGAATAAAGGCGAAATACCTTGTACTGTATTTACAGACAACGTCATATCAGAGAGACCTCGTAACTGCTTTGTCAGTGTATCAAATGAAGTTATGACAGCTTGAACAGCGGCTTCGCCACCCAGCGGAAGATTGGAGGCAACCTACGCAATCAATTTGAATTAAAATTAGCACAAAGAAACATGTAATTAAAGTTCAGTTGGATTTTACTAATATAACTATGGGTTTTTACAAAAATTACTATTCACATTAATCTCAGTATACAAAAATGGGTGTTGGAATATATAAGAGCGGTTAACTCTGACACTGTGTAACCGATCTCCATGAAAGTAGGCACATCCACATGTTTTTTTTTCCTTCTTTTTTTTTCCCATCCAGAAGTGAGCTGTTTAATTTTGTTGTAACTTCACTAGATGAACAAAACTGAACACTCAAACGCAACCTGCAACACTCGGCAACTCTATAACGTTATTTTTGAATTTATATTATTAAACAACTCCTAAATGAAGCGTTCTAGAGCATTAAAACTAAAATTTTAGGACCAAAGGAACAAAGAGAGAGAACTAGCAAAAGAGGTAGAATAAATCTACAATTTAAAAGAAAAGTCTCCAAAAATTCCCATCCATAATGCACATCTGGGATCACAAATCATTTAAATTTACAAGAAGTATTAAAAATTAGTGGAGCTACAATAGGGAACACACATTCTGTACTAATTAGCATCTCTCTTTTGATTCCTTTTCTAACTACCATCTACTTGAACCCAAAGAACTTGCCAGGGCTATTAAATGTAAAACCTCTCCCCTGGGGACAATTCCTACTGAATGGCTCCCTCGTTCTCCCTGATAAAATGTTGAAGTACCCCTTAGGACCATCTTAATTTTCCACAATCACTAATATGTCTGTAGATTTATCGGTACTATACCCTTGTTCTGGAAGTTGGAAACAAGTTCCTCAATTACATACACAGAAAGATTACACATAGCACTCACACAGTTACCAAACAGAGCAAGGGATTATTAAAGCATTGAAACCTGGTGTGTGGTTGAGAGGGGAAATTACAAGGAGCAGGCATGGTGGTAAATGGGCTGAAGAGGCAGATAAAAGTGAGGTTAACAACCAAGCAATTTGGCACTTGATCAAACATCTCTGTCTGTTAATTTCAGGGTTTTTAAAGGACGTTCAACATTTAATTTTAGAGAAATTTCAATTGCTTCTGGGAGAATATGATTTGTTTCATGATAATATTACTCAAGGTCCACAACAGAGAAATAAACTAAACGTGAATAAGCCACAAAGAAATAGCAATTATGCATCAAACTAATACCAACCTAATAACAATGGGTAAAGGCCATATTATAGAAGCTGGGAAAATCACAACCAACAAGAAGTAGAAAGATTTCAGAAAACTAAGAATTGGCGGCATACACAGAATACATAGAACACGCAAGGGGCAGGAGAAATAAACAAAAACAATGCTTACTCAGAGCACCCAAACAAAATTTCTTTCCACACTCAGTCAGGGACTAAAAGAAGTAGGGTCAAAGGAAACAGCCCCTTCGAACTGAACAAAATAACTTTATGTTGGTCATTACCATGATTGTTACTACATTAATATATGTGGTGCAGGATTATGAACAAAATAATGATGTAATTTGTAAACGAGCACATTCAGTTTTAGAAATTATTGTTAATAATTTTAAAATAAATTCATTATTGGACACAGGAAGAGAAATATCAGCAATAAATTAAGAATTTTACGACATTTTATGCCAACAACATTTTAAGATGCCCGTGATACTGATTACCAAGTCATATATCATAGGAGTAAATCAGAATAAAAATTTTCCGACCACTAAACAAGTATTATTGTCATTTGGAAGTACTGTAATAATGAAGAATTTGATACTGTGTGTCTTGTTAATAATTCACAAATTGTTAATTTTTGACAAGACAATTCTAAGAAAGGACTTCCAGCATGACTACAATATATACTGGTTATAATAATTTTAAAAACAATGATATTAATATGAATTTAAATTCAAGTGTACAGATTTCAGAGGCCGTAAATCTTAATGAGTGTTATGAATTGAAAACCAATTTTAGTACCATTGAAGATTTTGAAAGTCAAGTAGATCTTAAAATTAAACATTGCCAAATTAATGAAGATGAGGAAGAAGTAAGCAACACAAATAAAAAAAAAAATATGCTGAACAGTTTCAAGTCTAGAGACGTGGGTTTGATAAGAGGGAGACCAAACCTGCAAAGCATATAGCAAAATAGGTTTCACCAAGGAACGGTATAAGATTTTAAGAGTTTGCATGTTAGTAAAGTCAAACTTTACATGTCTTGCAAATCCCATCATCCGATTAGCTTTATTAACAATATAATCAATATGTAGATGGTATCTCGGTTTACTGTGAAAAATCACCTCCAAATATCTTAACGGTTTCCTATGAAGTATCATCTACTTTGTAATCAAATGTTATTTTATCAGTGATGATGAGTCTATCAGTGAGCAAATCATGATGTTTTTGAGAGAAATACTTTTTGCAATAACACTTTTCTTTAAAAACAACAACAAAGTTTTGCGTACAATTGAAAAAATTAAAAACTGCAAATTTTGGAGTGGTGGGCTTTGAAGGGGATGAAACTTTGTTTCTTATTATGGGTTTATTTCCTTTATATTATATAATGAAGTTTCATAACCATATAAATTAGTTCCACCATCTTTTACTTTCTTAAATATTCTTGCCTTACTTCATAACAAGAGGCAGCGGTATTAGCTGAATTGTTTAACTACTCTCCATAAAAAGTTAAAACAACTTGAGGCATTAAAGATGCCTGGATGAGTGACATCAGGGAACCCTGTTTACAAACGGCCCAGAGGCCCTGGCTGAAGGGATATAGGGCAATGACTGAGACGTTATGAACCATAAGGCAAAAAATGCACTTCATATATGGTGTACGGGTCAAAGGTAGTGCCACAATTGTTCGCCTGATCTCCAAAATTGATATATTCCAAGCAATTTAAAGGAATTCAAGGCTTTGTTCAAAGTTTCAAACAGACATTTCGATTTTCAGTACTTTTCATGAAAACAACATTTTAAAAATTTCTCAAAAATCACACACACACGCACGCATGCACGCTTGCACACACACACACACACAAATTAACTACTTTCAATCAACTAAGTTTAATAATAAAATTGGGGTAATTTTTGAGAAAATATTTTTGAGGCTTCATGAAAAATACTCCCCAAACAAAATATTTGTTTCTCAGAGGGCCTCCGTCCTTTCAAATCGATTGCGGAATATATTTGGAGGTGGGGTTAGGGGAAATTGGTTGAATAATTTGGGCGCTACCGTTGACATCAGACAAGTTTTGCCATTAATCTATTTTTCAGTATGAAGGATTCACTAATTATGAATTTTGTACAAGTGGTAGAAAAAGTCATTTACTATATCTATCCCCCGATATTCTGAATTTGATCTTGGCGATTGATGAGCGCGTTATTACTCCCGCACTCTTTTCAGCTGGTATTGGCCTAAGCGATCACCTCATGATCGAGACCAAAATGCAGGTCAGCCAATGCACCGAGGTAGAAGTTACATCCAGAATGACAAGAAAAAATTCAACCTTGCCACCTTCACTGTAATCAAACGAGAACTTACACATCTGCCAAACCTGAACCCGGTAACTGATGACATAGAAAACTTCTACTCCACTTTTGTTGATACCACAATAGACCTATCATCCCACTCACTGGTGTATAAAACCTGGAATCGGAATGGGAAACCATGGTTCAATAGAAATATGAAAAAGATATCAATGAGAAAAGCACAGTTGTGGTCTATCTTAACGACATCAAATCAACAGAATATTACAAAAATTACAGGATCATTAACAATAATTAGTACAGCTACTTAAGAGAACGGAGAACTCAGGAGCAAATGATCGTAGAGAAACAAGGTAAATTATTTCACTCTTACATTCGTGGGCAGCTGATCTCAAAGACAGACATTCGGTAGGTCATCTTTGATGACGACGGAGAAAGTATCACTGGAGCAGAGCAAGTATCACTGGAGCCTGGGCCCTGGATATGGCATCGAAGATGACACTGCGACTGGAGATTCACAAGAGCACGTCTATTTTGACCTTAAAGAAATCGCTCAGTATATCAATTGCAAACTCTGCCGCCGGACCAGTTGGCATACCAACAGTCTCCCTGAAAAACTGTGCACTGGAACTCACATATACACTAACACGGCTCCAAGGGTCCGTGGATCAAGGAAGGATCCTTTCGGCAATGAAACGTGCAATGGAGACGCCCATCTTCAAAAAAAGATGGTAAACGACTTCTCAAGAACCTATAGACCGATTAATTTCACTATTTCAGTGGGAAAGACATGGAGCGAGCCATCGTCACAGGATCTGAGATTACGCAGTAAGAAAGGACATAATACCCAGCCACCGTGAGTTTATAAATCGTGGGTTCACTACGACTAACTTGCTGAGCCCACTTGACCACTGGTCGAAGTCCTTTAATGTGGGCAAACCTTTATATGTAATTTACCTTGATTAAGCCAAAGCCATTGATAAGGTTCCATGTGAATGCCTATTATGGAAACTGTCACCACCGGGTATTTGAGGTAAGCTACTGGTGTGATTGAGAAAATGCTTGACAGGAGGATCCTTCCGTGTCAGAATTAGAGACGTGCTGTCTGCCCCAAAACCAGTTACTTGTGGTGTCCCATAGGGATCAGTGTTGGGCCGGATTATGTTCATCGTATACACAAGCGATCTTCGCTCACATAAAAGATTGAACTGGAACTGCTTTGCAGATGATACGAAGATCTTCGCGAATCCATTTACTTCCTACAACGATTTACACGAGGATTTGTGCGAGTAGAGCCATGGTCTCGAAAATTATTGCTTCCCCTAAATAGTTCCAAAAGTAGAGTCCTCCATCTTGGAAGACAAACCCTAAAAATCCATACTACATCCAGCAGGAGATGGCTGAGCAAACCGAATTACAGGTGGACCTAGTGGTGATCATATCACAGGATCTTAAGTGGGAAAAACAAGTTGCTGCCATCACCAGAAAGGCTAATGCTTCGGCTTATCTGATCTGGAAGGCATTTCTTGACCTAACTGTCCCACTAGTTAAGGCATATACGACCTATGTGGGGCCAATTTTGAAACATGTTGTATGGACGCCAATGTTGTATGGATACCATATTACAAAAAGGACATTCAGCATTTGAAAAAACTACTGCGAAAGATAACTAAACTGGTATGGTGTCTACAGAACATGGACTGTGATGACAGATGTCAAAAAGTTAGACTTACGATACTGGCGAGCAGAAGAGAAAGATGCGACCTCATTGAGATCTTCAAGATTCTTAAAGGAGAGCATGATGAGACAATGAGGAAATTTTCATTAGAAGGCCAGATGATAGACTTCCAGGACATCAACGCAGATTGCAGAAAGAGAGAGTGTGGGCCAACTATATTGCGCAATTTATTGCCAATAGTAAATGCCTTCCCAGTCATATGGTCGCGAAAAACGAAATGGCATTCAAAAGGAAACTTCAAGCCAACCGAGAAATTGAAACGACTTGCTAAACTCTACGATAAACTATGACTTGTGATATATGATGTGAAGTACTGTGTAATTATAGAAGTATGCATATCAGTTTTTCTAGTGAAATATAATAAATAAATGCTTAGATAAATTTGTAAAATGGTGTGAACATTTATTTAGTTATTTATTAAGAGACTGTGACATACAAATAATATAATACAAGTATGTACATTATTATTCCGCTGAGGAATTAATCCAGTGCGTGGGCCTGATATCAATCATTTCCCCCCCCCCCCCCAGAGCAACAGTTTTTCTCAAGAGCTCGTTTATAAAAGAAAAGAATACAAAAAAATTATCGGAATATATAATTAATAAACAAAGAAAAGAATAACGAATTACATCAAAATTACTTTTTTTAGAAACATCCCACGAGCAATCATGAACAATTTTTACTTATCTTGACTCGCTACTAAAAAGAAAAAATCTTCCAAAATAAAATTCGTGAATGACTACCATAATATAATAGCTAGTTGATGCACCTTGATTTTCAACACAAGATATAGTGAAATGCAACTGTCACAGAAGTCTTGTGACAACGGAAGATCGTGCAAGTTTGAACTTGTTTTACTGCCACCTCAAGCGATAAGAAAATAAATTTCCATTTTATGTACTATGAATCTTTTAAAATCAAACTAATACCCAAGGTAACCCTTCTAGATACTTCGGAAAAATTGACTTTTTTCCAACTAGATGGCAAAAATTACATACTGTGCATTGGCAAAAGCGAGGTACGGCCCAGCAACTTCATGGTGTAACGAAAAAATGCATGGTGAGTAACTCGATTTACCTGGGTTCGACTCTCGGCTTGGGGAAAATGTTTTGCTGGTAGGAAACACTTCTGCAAGTTCATGTAGTAATATAATATTGCAGAGCTGTTACTAATATTGCGAGAAAAATATGAGGTGTTGTAGCACCATTTGCTTTTAAACCTAATTGCTTAAATTAAATAAAGGTCCGATTTCCAATGAAATCTCTGACTTTCGAAATGACAGAAGGTAACATTTATTTCTTCATACAACTACAATATTGAAAGATTTTTTTTTTTTTTTCATTTCCTCACACAACTTATGTGGTACAGAAAGATTAAAGTAATGCTGCGGCAAAAATCGGTGATCTTTCGGCATCAAAGGTCATATATTGTAGGTCTCTTATTAAAAAAACAACAACAACAACAACAACAACAACAAAAAACTTGTTCCTGTATTAGTAAATTATTTCCTCTAACACGTAGTTTGCTTATAGTGCAGAATGCAAATTTTGTGGGTCCTCTTAAATCGAAAAATTGGTTAAGGCATAACGTCGCTTGTACGTTTGTGACCAACGCTAGTGGCGAAACAACAGATAGGACTTTTAGAGCAAAGTACTCTAAAAAATGGCACATGTCCGATTTTCATTTAACTCTCGAAATTAAAGAAGACTGCAAAAGTTTGAAACTTTTTCAACACCTTCCAACAACTAATATATTCAAAATTAATTCATTTGCATGTGTTGTTCGACCATTAGGTCTATCTTGAATACTTTCTCTTTACTCTTTTAAAATTTTACTACACAATATAGAGAAAGTCTTGAAAAGTTTCATTGGAGGAGGGAGAGATGATTTTCCGGCAGGAAAACTTGTTTCATGAGATTCAGATAACCGAAATTGTGTTTTCTTGATTAAGTGACAATCCATATTTTGTAGGTCCTCAATAACGAAAAATTGGTTTATAGCTAAACGTCCAGATGTCAGTGAATAACGCTAGATGCTAAATCGTAGCCAAGATTTTCATCAAAGTTGAAATTCCCTAAATGAATTGGCTGATTTGGAATTTTATTATTATGTTTGAAGTGCTGCAAACAATCACAAAAACATTTTCAAAATTTTCTCCAAAATGGCTCCAATTTTTCCCGTTTTTTCTTGAGAAAAGCAAAGTACATCATCAAAATACTGGTAGTTCAAAAAAATTAATAAACAAAATTTTCTCACAAAATGCAATAGTTTTAATTGTTTTTGCTCTACTTAAGCAATGATTGTTTTATAACATGGCATGTGTTCTATTTTTATAAAACCTCTTGAATTTTGAAAGAAAGCTGAAGTTAATTTTTTTTAAAACCTGGCCTATACCTTTAAAACTGAAGCAGATTTCTTATGTACATTTTTCAAAAATACAAAAACAAGATTTTTCTTAAGTCTCCAAACTTATCATTTAAACTTTTCGTTCAAAAAGAGCACGAATCAATGAACCATAGTTTTTTTTATTTTAAAAAATTACACACAAGCAATTTTACAATTGCTTCATATGATACAATGAGATCAATTAGAGAAAAATTTATTTCGACATAATCAATATTCTAATTTATCACATGGGTAACATTTAGCGAAAACACATATTGATCCCTTCAGAAGCTGAATATTGCATTACATATATTAACTATGTTCTCCTTGCAATGACTGACATGCCATTTAGTAAATAAACTGCCAACTTGAATAACTTACTTTTTTTTCTGATTGTGCATTGTAATATTACCCACAAGCTATTATGATTTTCAAATGTTAAATTAGTGTTAAAATTGCCACTGTAGAGTTTTTGTTATCAATTTATATTTTTTACTAATGAATATGATGCCCAGCAAAAAAAAGGGAGCCGGATTTTGAAAAAAAAAAGTGATTAAAAGAAGAAAAATTATTTGATTAAATTTAAACAAAAACCAGCGATTTAAATCATCAAACCTTAATTAAATGAATTAATGGACATTTACTTTTCTTAATATTTTTTCAGCAAAGTTACTTCTGGAAAGCACATACAATTTTACGTACCTCTCTTGGAGCATCCAGAAAACAGTCAGTATGTGTTGCAAAATACTTGTAGGAATTTTGAGGCAACCCTACATGATTCCCCAGTACAAAATGTACCACTTGTTCACAAACAGGATGCTGGGGACTCCAGAGAACAGCTTCACAAATGGATCCATCTCTAAAACGTCGCAGTTGTGATAGTGTTCCCCAAAATGAACGGAATACTTCTGCCTGCACAAAAAGGTAAAGCACATATTTTTTAATAATTTTAAACTAGTGGAAATTCTTAGATATGCCAATGTTCATCAAGGAGTTGATGTGATAATTAGTTAAGACAATGAAGCAAGTCTTTATTAATTTCTTTACATAAGGTGTAGTATTCCTGTTTTCCATAAAGCTATGTATTTTTAATGTTTTCTATGATTAAGCATGCACAATACATTTTATTAACATACAAAATTTGAAACAAGTTTTTTTTAAAACATTTTTATCCATTTTTAAAATTGCAGAACACACTTGACGTCAATTATCAGCAGCTAATAAACAGATGGAATAGTAGATTTCTGTGGCAGGAAACATTTGATTTTTGACTGTCCGGGATGAGATGTGTCTCAGTCGATCGAGCTGATGTTTCGGACGTCATGTTGTGACCATTGTAGCTATACTGCTGAGCAGTTGTTTTTGCTTTAGAGCTATAGTTCTGAGCAGCAAAACGTTTTACTATTTTTTAGAGACTTTTTAAAAAGCTGAAACACAAGTCTCTTTAAAAATAAGATTCTTTAGATTATAAAAAACACTTCTTTTAGACAGTTCATAATTCAATATAAAAAAACAAAACTTTTGATAGTGTGATTCTGACTGTTCTCATACTGAGAGTACAAACTAAATTCTCATACTCAAAAGGTGATTTTAAAAACAAGAGTTTCTTAAAAAAACAACCCCAAATTTTTCTTAGAACATTTTGTAGAAGTAGTGCTAAATGCAGTAAAAAACATGTCATGAAGGCCATTTCAATATATTATTTTGATTTTCAAAAATTACAGTAGCGTTAAAAAAATGCATCACTTAAAAAAAATGGGCCTTCTGTATTTTCCTAATTCAATCTGCTCTCAAAAATTTTAAACAAATATTAGTAAAAATTGATAACCATATATTTTATGTGGATTATATGAGGATTCTGATTCCATTAGCTTCATACTTCGCTCAATGTTTTCAAATCAAGTGGTGTATTTTCAGGATTATGTTGCAGATTTCAACTGTGAGAAAGGTGATATTTTTTAGTACAGCTGTACATAAATGAAAGTTTTTTGCTAAATCTCTCACTTCCTTAATATTTATGTTATGGACATTTTTTTATACATTACAGCATTTGAGTACAAGTGCTTCAAACGAATTCTAGTAATGTTTCACGGAAACTACAAAACTAAAGTTTTCTGTGAACATTAGCTTAAAATTGCGCATTTTGAGAAAGACTCAAACGACATTTTCTCAAGAACCATTCCACATTTTTCAATACAAAAATTTCATATTGCCTTCAATGGGTATATTATTATCTGTTTAACATCAAATAACAGTGAAAACTAAGTGTGACATACTCTAGAGAGATATGCATTCTGTGCAAGTTTTCTTAAATTCTGGCATAACATAACTCTCTTCATCTTTCTCTACAAGTTGACTTAAGAATACAGATAGAGCTGAGGATGGGGAGCTAAAAGGGTGTCCACCTTACGAAAAGTGAGATAGAAGTTTTTTTATTTGTTTGTTAGAATTAATTTTAGTAAGAAAACTAAGTTTACCATCTCAAAAAGTTTGATCGGCACCTCACTTGGCACCTTCAGAGAGACCTTGCTACGTCAACACTGTTTTCAGTTGTGTCAGCCACACTCCAATATATGGAAGTCGCTGTAATGTTCCTTGTCAAGCAGAGTAAGAAAAAAGATGTGAGCTGTCACATGCCTCTGGAGAGCAATAGGCCTTTTGCATATATACCACTGAGCTATAAGACAGTGAGAAATAGGATTCTCATTCATAACTAAAATTTCAATCAAGTGTTTTGTTTCTCATTTTTAATTTTCCTGCAGTTTTACCATTTTAATTTTTTTTCTCTAGGCCTTGGGGGGGGGGGGCATGTCTCCCTCTCAATCTGTCCACTATCATTACACTAGTAACATATCCAACAGCTTAAGTTACGCATTTGATTTGACAAAACTATTTTACACCATTTTCCTTTGCTTTTAAGTCATTTTAAAACCATTTTAAGAGTATTTTATTGATAATTTTTGGCAATTTTTTAGGTCATCAAAATCCGCACCTAGTTATTATATTTCTCCATCCTAAGGTTAGTATACAAATGCTCGACTGCAAGTAAAGTCTGATTGGTAAATTAAGATAGTTTTTTATTCAAAATGATTTGGTAGAATGAACTCGGCTCACTCAGCGATACGATTTTATTTGTTTCTGATTATCCAAAATATATTTGCTTCAAAGTTTTGTGACAAGTTAAAATTAAAAGTCCGCCTGCCTGCTCACAATTTTTGCTCTTTTTAAAACACTGGAATGTTATGGGTTAAGTTATTCCCTTATTCATTTTTTTAAAAAAAGAACATAAAGACTATGACAAAACATTTCACCAAAAACAAGCATATAATGCATGAAATTAAGTTATTTCATGTAGCTTACCTCAGGTTGGTCTGCTCCAGGTCCCCTCTGTAAACGTTCAAAAGCTTGAGAAACATTCAAACGCAGGCCCAGTATTAGGGGAACAGATATGCAAGAAGGTGATGGAGGTAGGTCACAGCAAGCCCAACGCTGAACTTTTGGAAGAAGAAAGCCAATGGAGTTGACTCTCTCACCCAGACCTTTCTCTAAGTATGGAAGTACCAAGTCAAGTAACAGAGGCAACATCCAACCAGTCTGATCCAACTTTTGTTTTAATGTACAGTTTTTCTCCACACTCTTGACCAAATCACAATCCTTATCAAATCTGCAACAATTAAAATATTATTATAGTAATTTCCAGAATCTATAAATGAAGAGCAAATCATTAAACACCAAAATGAAGACTTTTGAGATCCCATGTTCTTTTTGAGCTCTAAGGCAACTTCTTCAATTTGTGTGCAATAATGTTACCCCAGGACAATGAAATGACAAACAAAAAAGGAGCAATGCAAATCTTGCTCAGACAGCGTTTATCATTATATTCCTCAAAACATACATACATTATTAAATTTTATAACCAGTGACCTCAAGCAGTGAAAGCTGCATAACTAAAAAACAATATTAAATAAAATAACTGATAAAATATATTATTCAAATCTTTAAGATGTACTACCTGATGAAGTCTAACAACAAGAGTTATCTTAATAAGAATTTGATATGCAACCATAAATTGTGAAAAGTCCAAGTAAAGTTGGTTGTTAATAAAATATTAGAATTATAGAGGCAGACATAAATATATAATTAAATAAAAGTCATGTTAACTTGCATAAGCCTCCTCTCTCCAATAAGGTTATAAAATCAATTTTTTCAAAGAACGCTAAAAAGTTTTTTAAAAATTCTTTTACATTTGTGTAATGACTAATAACCATACTGGTATTGAATATAGAGTACTCCTCTGTTAAACTAGTGAGTCATCGCCTTTTATCCCTTCACCCTGGGGCTAAGTGCTGTTAGATCCCCAGGGTTCTCAGTCGGTCCTGGAATCGGCAGTATCTCACGTTGCTTAATCTCCATGACTTCATAGAGCATGGTTAAGCAATTCCACTACTGATTCCACCTAGCAGTTCGTAGAGAAGGGAATCATCATTACTAGAGGGCAGATTGATCTGCACTTGAAATTGTCAAAATACACCTAGATTCTTGTTCTTACAATTAGTGCACCAAAAATATGATTAATCAGTTTTCAATATGGTTAATAAATAACTTCAAATTTAGTTATATAATCACTTTAATGTTCTCCCTAATCTCATGCACTAAGGAATTACCAATAAGGCTTGAAAGTTATTGCTCTATCAAAAGGAGAAATATGCATGCAAATATATTCTAGTACTAATGAAATATACTCTAACGAATAACATTTTTATGTATTCAGCAAGTTCAGTTTCAGTTTTATGTATTCAACGTAGAAAGAAGTTATGATCCAAAATTCTTCTGCATGTGTCCGTGAAGGCGCTTGCTGGCTATCATGGACGGAAGCACTGTTCCTGAGTGCCCGAGTAGTCCGGCCACGCCGTGTCTAGGGGGCGCAAATGATGTTTTGATCACTTTGGGGACAAAACCAACTGTGTTGGCAACTATGGAAACCTTCCAAGGTTCAGCCTGAGCTCAGTTGTCTGTTCAAACCTTTTTTGATGGAGCAACATGGAAGAATGGTTTAAATATTCAGAGTCCTGTAATCCTTTCGATAACGTTGGACAGTCTTATCATAAAAAAAACCTTTGAAGTGTTCTTCCTTAGAAGAACAGTCAGTTTACATCAGAATTTGTCATCTCAAAAAAGAAAAAGCAATGGATGCAGGAAAGTAATGAAAGTGAAGATCGATTCGTATGTTGCACCCAAAGGTTCTCCAGATTCACCAGATCCATATAATGAAGAAGCGTTTGTTGACAAAGGTGCATCCATGGAACTTTTAAACAGTAGTCTAGTAATTATAAGTAAAACACCAATTAGAGTAAAAATATTTTAAGAAAGTCAGTGTAAAGAAAAGAAATAGAATAAATATGAAAAGTTTTTAAAGGAGAAAGTTTTTCATTTTTCTAATGATCTGCAGCCTGGACCACCGACAAGCTCGAATGACAAAATATCAAATCAGTTAGAAGAGAAATTTTGCACCTGTAATAGAAGTGGAAGGAAAAAAAAAAAAAAAAAAAAAAAAAAAAAAAAAAAAAAAAAAAAAAAAAAAAAAACTATTTTGACACTTCTCCCTAATAACTGGAACATTAATAAAATTAGAAGTGAATTTCCTGCCTCTGAATACATGGTATGGGAAGCCAAAAAGCTCATTAAAAGTAGGGCATATTGTCTTCTGCGAACCCAAAACCAGACAAGAATTTATTCGAAGAAACTGTCCAAAAAGTATGGGAATATTATTGTTCAGATGCTGTTGGTAGAAAAAAAGATTATAACATTGTGAATTTCAGGAAGAAAAGATCAAGAACAGAAGAGAGAAACTCATTCATGCAAATTTAAATTAAGTATATATGGATTTCAAACCTTTATATCCTTATTTAAAAATTGGCTATTCAAAGTTTGCATTTCTTTCATCATAAAACTGCATTTCAGATGGTGCAAGTGGAACACACACTGTTTGTGTTTGTGTTATTCATCAGGTTGTAAAGCTTATGCTTGATGCTCGGAAGTTACCAACATAATTAGAACATTTCAACTTAAATGTGTCTTTTTACAAAAACATGCTCACATATATAATAGTACGTAGTCCATCCCGAATTTGTTGCTTTTTTAGTGAGTACTCTGAATGTTCCAGGATTTTGACCATTAAAAATATTTTGGTAGAAACAATGGAAGGAAACTTCATCAAAACAATTTAGTTCACAGAGTTAGTAAAAACCTAAAGATTAAGTTTAGAGACAATCGTAAAGTCCAAAGAAGATTTTGATTGTTTAGTAGCAAAACTTAGCAAATTGTTGACACAATCATTCAACTTTTCAGAACACAAATAATACCTACAAGATCGTAAAATATCACTTCAACTTGGAGAATACATAGCTTTGTGTGATTTTTCTGAAAACTTTGATGAAGTGCAAGGATTTTATTGGAATAATGCACGGGGTTCACTGCAACCTTTTGTTGTCTTCTTCAGATTACATTGTTCAAATTAATTGTTGAGTGACAACTTAAATATTGTTTCACACTACGTAGATGTACGGAGAAGACAAAGACGACGAAGAAGAAGACAAAGAAGAAGCCGATATTAGGCACACATAAATTTCATTGTTTTCTCCCTCTACTTTTATCGTCTGTATGATAATTCTTGCAAAGACACTCAAGTAGTAAAAACTCATAACAGCACCACATCTTAAGATCTGAACTTTGGAGAGATGTCAAGTGTAAGTACCTATTTTGTAGTTAAATTTCCTTTCCGATAATGCTTACTATTATTATCATGCCTTAGACAACTGTAAATAAAATCTCGCTTTCAATGCAAGAGTAGCTGATTCTACCTTATATTATTTATATTGGAGGACAGTTCAGTCACATTCATGTGAATTCAATGTACATTGGACTTTGATCATTGCAAGTAGCAACGAGCAGGAGTTCAAGATTTCCGTTTCGTTCATGAGACACATGTTTTCATAATTTGTAACTCCTGATCCCATTTTCATCCCAAATTCAATTTTCTTTTATATAAGTAAAACAACAAATTTCCCCCCCCCTTAATTTTAAAAATATGTATTCATTATTTTGAAACCTTTTCAAAATATATTTTTGCTTCTTCAAAATGTTTCAGATAGCCGCGTATATAAGCTTTAAAATAATATATGCACAAAATTTTATCTTTGAAAATGACAGAGATAATGTAGTTTTTGATTAGTAACCCACAGAGTTATTTCGCGATACTTCCGAACTTCAATTCATTATATAAATGGTTAACAATATTAGCTACACCCTTCATAATATTTTAAGAGGTACTTAAAAAACACAAAGTTGAGAAAAGATCTGAAACTGTCGGGGTTGGGACCCATGTTGAAGTTGAATGATTCAGGGACCAACTCTCCTTGACACAATGGATAGTCATGAACACCACCAATCTCCAAAACCTTGCAGAAATAAATTCACAATTTAATATACTCTACAATTTAATCTAATGGGTCTAAATCCTGTTTGTTAGTAAATGGTTAGCAATATTAATTAGTAGTGCTACAGAATGGCACAGTAGTGGCACACACTTTCCCGCATTAGTTATCTATTTTCTTTGGTCTGGGACAGCTATTCGGACTTGCCACATACCCTTGCCAACTGCCATCTGTCGCCATCCAAAATATATATTTTTGAAATTTTCTAATTTTTTCAATTTCCTAATCGTAGACTGGAAATATTATTTTAAGATTATTAAAGAAAGTTTGTAGATTACAAGAAAGCTTTTAACACTGTAGCAAGGCATACCTTCTTTGAAATATTAAGAAAGAAAGGAATCCCCGAACATCTTATCCTTGTAATTGAAAATATGTATAATAAATCTGAAATATGCATTACTTGGAAACCAGACTGAAAAGCGGAAGTGGACAAAGGCCTACGACAAGGATGTAGCCTTTCACAACTACTGTTTGATATCTACATAGACAAAGCTCTTCGTGAGTGGAGTAGCAGATTAAAATTTTATACCCTACACCTAACTACATCAAAATTATGGACAATGGTTTTTGCAGATGACCAAGCAATAATAGCAGAAGGAGAAGATATGTTACAAAAAGCAACGTATGAACTGCAGCGGATAATGGCAGAATATAATGTTGAAATATCAGACACCAAAAAGGAAGTGATGGCATTCCAAGGTCGATACGCTCAAAAATTGTAGTAAAGAAAAAACAATAGAGCAGATACAACACTTCACATTCTTGGGAGCAGACATATCATTCTATGGCGAAATCGACATAAATAAGAAAATAGAACGATTCTATCAAATGAATGGAACTATAAGAAGAACACAGTTCAAAAGTGAGAAGAGGCACACTCATTAAATTTTACAAAGTTATGTCAATACCAACCTGCTTATAAGGGAGTGAAATGTGGACAATGACAAAAAAAGTTATATCAAGACTGCAGGCAGCGGAAATGAGATTCCTTCAAGCGGTAGCAGGATATAGCCTTTTGGACAGAAAAAGAAACACACAAATCCAAAACGAGCTAAATGTAGAAAGTCTTATAGAGAAAGTCACCAACTACAGACTCTCATGTCAAGATCACATATTGCGAATGAATAAAGACAGAATTCCTAAACGAGTGACAAATTATCAGCCGAGAGGAAAAAGGAATGTAGGACGTCCAGAATGCGCTTGAGGGACCAAAATTAAGCGGCGTAACAGGCATTATGTCTAAATACTTGAAGATAAGAAGACGAAGAAGAAGATTATTAAAGAACAGTAGAACTTCATCCTAAATGGCAATTTTCTTTGAAAAATTTGCCATTTAAGCGCAATTGTAAATTCGAAAAGTAAGGATATTTTTGGCAGAAAATTTTTGAGTTTTCAAAAAACTTCATTTGAAGTCATTTTAAGTACTTTCTCATAAACATAAAAGTGTTTAAAATTAGCTGGAAATGTGCATACTAACGGCAAAAAAATTCTTTAAAAAGTTTACTTTTGTGTAATTTTTAAAAAAATACATAGAAATGAAATTAGTCATATTAAAGAGTGCAATTAGCACTATCTGTTTGAAATGTTTGATGAAAAATTTGGAGACGTTTTTGAGAAAATGGCATTTCAATGTTTTTGAAAATGCGGAATTTTGAACTAGTTTTCACAGAACACAGTTGTATTTTCAAGAAACTTTATGAGACATTATTTAAAGAACATGTACTCATAAGAACAATAATTTGAACACATTGCCGGTAGTATAAATATTAACAACATGAGAGAAAAGTCAAACAATTACATTTTTGTATTTTTTGAAAAAAACAACAGAATAGAGCATTTATGTCATGTTATAGAGTACATTTAGCACTAACCCTACCAAAATTTTAAATAAAAAATTTGAAGCCGTTTTTGAGAAAATCTGGTTTTTGTAATTTTTTAAAATGGCGCATATTTTATGCAATTGGTGTGAAGACTACTAACATTTTCAAAAAAATGCACATGACCTTAATAAATAAAACAACTCACTGTGGAGAACAAATTGTGTTTGAAGGAAAAATCTCTATCTTTAATTTTGTAGTTGTACGAAGATGCCGCAAAAAATTCATTCTTTTGAAATTTTCAAAAATTCCAAGTTAACCGTGAAAATTGGTCCTATGACACCATTATACATGTATTTTGTTCTATTCTTACAAGAATTTTAATGAAAAAATTTGGCACTGTTTTTGAGAAAATTTTGAAAATGTCAGAGGGCATCAAGTAAAGTACCCCCAAATTTTAAAGAATGTTTTTGAAAATCTCACAGTTTCAACTCGATCCAGATTGACAGGTTTATTCATTTTGGAAAAAATCTTGCGAATTGTTTAGGCGCTACTAGTGTTTACAGACACCACCGGACGAATGGACAGACAGACGTTTAGGAAAAAACACTTTTTTGGTATCAGGGTACCCCACATTGTGTATTTTTGTTGAAATCTCAAAATAGATTTTCCGCAGCATTTCATAACTTTCCCCGTACTACATATATTACTCCGTATATAAATATGTATACGGGAAAGTGTTTACCCAAGCATAGTACTCAGTCAATTATGCAGTTACACACAGTTCAGAGACAGGTTCTTCGATGTCTCGTACCAATATGAAGTTGTTTTCACTTTTAAAATTATGATATACAACATGCCAAATGCTTGTAAGGGTCAAACAAGTTGAATGTTTTCCTAGGATTGAAACAATGTAGAATATTTCTTGGAGAATTGTAGCACCAAGAATGAATTAACTTGACCCCTTTGGTAAACCTGGTTATAATTACATTGTGACACAATCATCCCTAAAGCCAGTGCCAAATTCCGTGGACATATTTTCCTAGAAAAATGTATTGGTAAATTATTCCTTATTTTTGGATTACAATAACTTTAGAGTGCCTTCCACTATTCAAAGGAGTTAATAATAGATTTGTTGGTTATACTGATTCAAATTGTCTCTTAGATAAGGATTTTGTTTTTGAAATCTGAATGATGTTGTAGACTTGAATGTAATTTCATTACTAAACATGCAATTTTTTGTTTGTTTTCTTGGTTTGAGTATTAATTGTAAATAGTTTGAGTTATCATTAGTACTTTAATTTAACTATCGATAACTTAACTAACAGATATAAAATCATTAAGTTGGCTGGTATTGATAAATAGTCTATCGTCCTAAAAAGAGCAAAACAGCTATGATAAACAATTTATATTATTTAATCAATTGTTCACTAAAGGATTTTACTTTTTCAAGATGCCTTTAGAATGACTCAGAATAATTCAAACCTGACCACAACCAATACCACTTGGAGTCAAAACTTCTCTCTGGTTTTCTCATCATTATTCTCTTGACATTGAAAATTTCTCCACGTTTGAATACTAAGGAGAATTTTAGTTTTGGAATTAGGTACTTAAAACTTCCAGTGAAAACACATATCTCACAAAAATTTGAAAAGTGCTTGTTCTATATAATTGTGTTTTACAAGAAGGCCAAAAATCATTGAAGGGTGAAACATGACTAATGTATGTGTATTTTTTGAATACTTATTCAAATGTCCTAGAAGATGAAATGCAAAAGTTTCAGAATTGATATAGTATTATTCATACATTACATAGAAGCTAGAGGTCACGGTTAGTACCAAAGAGTAACAACCTGTAAGGATTTCAGGTAAATTATCATGAAACATGTTTTAAAACACTAAATAATAAAAAATGATGAATCACAAACTTGTAAACAAAGGTGCAAAGAACTAATGTATATTTAAATGGTTGAAATGACACTGCTGGGTATTCATTTGTTAAGTTACATGTACTTTACATTATAAGCAAAAGAGCAGTTAATGTTGCACATAAAAATAAATCAAAATAAGCAATACTCAACCTTATGATAACATCATGACACTGCACAAATTCAACGGGTATCATGAATAATGCTTGAAAGTTTTGTGAGGTAGATGTATCTAGAAGAGAAACAGCTTGAGCACTTGCTATTTTAACCTGCAAGAAACAAAATGAAGAAATTGAAAAAAATAATCGAGATACATTAAGAATGTATTTAATATATAAAGTCACTAAATAAATGGCTATAACTTGTAAGTTGCTTAATCTGCCACATGGGGAAAAAGGGAATATGATTTATAAATATTAATACACACACTACTCACAAACATTCTTAAAACAATAATCATTCATACTGCCTTTAAATAACATGTTTTTATCCTCTACAATGACATTGAGTATTTGTGCCAGTTCTATTTTATTTCAATTGAAAATTACAGTAGGCTTCAAACACTGTATCTCCATTCACTGCACAATAACAAGCAATTTTAACTTTTTCTTTTGAGGTTCCCACTACTTCAGCACACTTTAAAAACAAATATGTGAAATATTTTGGGGTGGCACAAACTATCACAGCTATAATCAGAGGAATTTTATGTGAAATGTGATTGCATGTAAGAAAACATGGTGAAAGCCCAGAGGCTCAGAGGGAGGGGGAACTTTTCAAGAGAGCAAGACGAGGGCTTGTCGTGACCAGACCACGGAAAGCAGAAAGACGTGATAGAAATCGGAGGGTGGATGCACTGAAGGAAGCAGTGGAATTGGTCACCAAAGTTGAGACTGGTAAATTTTTCAATGTTGTGTGCCACTAGGGAAAGTTTCCTCGGTCAGTTCAGATTGGACTGAAATTTTAAGTAATTGTTTCTACGAACTCTGGTCTGACGCGAATGTTATGTTCTCATTATGTCAGAACTATTTAACAAATTTAATCACGGGGTCAGAAAATTCAAGTTATGAGTTTATCCGCGATTTCCCTGAATTGGGCTGAGCCAGCCGCAACAACTAAAGACTTTGCCACGGCGCACTAAACGGTAGCGAGAAGACACCAAGTGGCGAAAGTGGGGCATGGTCGTCTGCGCGGGTCGGAGGCCACGGTGGCCGCCGCCTCCGGCTTGCCCTGCGCCCCAGTCGCCGTCGGTCGACCCCTTCTCGACCGCCGAAGCCTGCCCAGCTGGTGACGTTGTCGACCTCCAGAAGCCCAGCGGATGAAACGAGCGGTGAATCTCCTTTTTCAAAGGAAAACCCACACTTTTGGGCCTAAAATAACGTTCAAGCTAAATCCACAGACTCTTGTTTAAATAACGTTTCTCTTAGAATTAGCGCAGCCGCGCATTGGCCTCATTACCGATACTGGTAAAACTTTTATCATTAGTATTAAGAGTACATTTTAAAACTTTAAAATTTTCACATGAGCTCATTTTTTCCAAATGGGGACGTTTTTTTTGCGTAATTTTCTCTGAAAGCATTAATTAAATTCTGTCTGTTGTTCTATTATCTTCATTGTGTTTTTCTAGTACCCTGCAACAACGCCCGTCCTTCATTCACCTGCTAAAAAGCTGAACCCATTCAGGTAGCTGACCAGTTTACAGTATGTAATGATTTGTAATCTATTTTGTTAATTTTACCAACTGATTTATAAACCTCTTCATACTTTCAGAGAAGGGTTCATGAGCAGTTGCAATCCTTGTAAGTCCCTAATAGTTTGATTTGCAAAACATTTTCTTGCTTCAGTTTGCTTTCCTTTGTTCTTATAGATGTGTCCTCCTTTTCACGTAAGGATATCTAACATTTTCTTTATCCCTGCCCATTCTGATGCCCCTCAACATCAAATCAAACTGTCTTTGAACAAATGCTCAGAGGTTTTAATGTTACTTTTGCATTGAAAATTTCCTATCCTTTATTGATAAATTTCAGTATCCTTTTTGAATTTTATCTAATTCTTGTATCTGGCCTAATTCACATGGATTCCAATAAGCCAATGCATATTCCAAACCCAATCTGACCAGGGAAGTTTATATCACCTTCCTTCTTTCCTTGTTTTTGTTCTTTAAGCATTTAATTATGAAGGGATCTCCATGACTTACAATCTACGTAATTTATTTGATCTCTCCATTCTAAGTCTGCTCGCAGAATAATACCTGTAATATTTACTTGGTATACTTCAGGAATTAAATTATTTTATCCACTGAGTAAATAAGATGGTTTCTATTTTACTCCTTGAGAAAAAAACTAATTTTTTACTGCTTTATTTTGAAAGGTCTATGCCTAAAAATGGTTGAAATCCTCTTGGAAGGTCATTTTGTTTTAACGCAATTCAGTTTACCAATAAATAATGCAGTCATCTGAAAATAGGCACATTTCAAATTCACTGGTAATGGTAAATTATTTATAAACACAAGAAAGAACAGTGGTCCTTCACTCCCTAACAGAATTCCAGGCATAACCTTTACTTCCCCTAATAGCTCCCAATCCAATTTTGGCTTGCTGAGATTGTCAGTGTTGGATTCCATAGGGATGGAGAGGGGAACAAGGGTTAGAGGAAACATACCCCCCCCACACACACACACGCACATCAAATGTAATAAAAGAAGGCTATGATCTGTCAAAAATATCTGTTAGTTGATTGAGTTACGAATGTGCATGAGCATATGAAATTACTTTTGAAATCACTAAGCCTATAATGAGGTTCAGTTTACTAGTTTATAGTTTGAAGCATGTGCAATTTCCACTTTCGAAAATCTGAAACCATTTGGTTGTTTTTTCGTCAAGGGGTTAGGATGCTACTATTTAGACTAATTTCAAGATGAAAAATAAATAAACAGAGGTTCCCCTCTAGATTTTATAAGCACTTTCAAAATATCATAGATTCCCACAAATTTGTTGGCTTCTGTTTCTTATTATTTTCTGTAAACTTTTGGATTCAACTTGTAACTTGTGTACTGCTTTTGTGAGAAGTCACGTCGAGTTGTGAGTTACACTTCCATTCATGGATTGGAAATTTACATTAAAGCATTAAGTTCAGTCATTATTTAACACTGTAATGATGGCCTATAATGAATGCCTAGAACGATGGGAGCAGTCACTTTGACCACAAGCATTTATTCATTTTTTTTAAAATGTAATTAAAGACACAATGTTTATGTTTTTGTAGTTTTATTAACGTAAATTATCAAATACCAAATACTGATCACTAACAGTAACCAATAATGCAACAATAATACTACGACACTGTTAAACTGATTGAAAATGGACAACTAGAACATTTCGCTTTCTGGATTAATCAACACAGTTAATAAAACCTTCAATAAGCATTTGGTTCATTTTCCATACTCAGGTTTCTGGTAATGAGCAGATTCGTTCCCAGTTTTGTTGCCGCATGTGTTAATGGAACATTGGCGACTGGGTTTCTTCACCAGCAGTGTTCTTCCAACTGTTTGTTTCTTGTCTCTCATTTTGCACAGTTCTATGGCCAAATCTAGAAGAATTTTTTTCTATTTGTTTTCTTTCTTGTGATTTCTTTATATAGTACCCAACTGTTTATTCCTGTCAAATCTGATATATTACAAAATACGTGCATTGGCCATCTTCTTGACCCTGCCTTTACGGACTATTTTCAAGTCATTTGATCTACTAACACCACACCATACTTGCTGTTGTAGATCACAGAGTCAGAGTATGTATCTGAACCTCACAATGAACTCAATATCATTACATTTTGGGTCTGTTTACCCAGGTAAACAGTAAGAGTAATGTCACCATTCTTCAGAACCTGTGTTGAATAAAGTGTTTCTTTACTAGTTTCTGCTTCAACTGGTACTTCCCGCCTTGGTTTATTCATTGTGCAAACTATTTTTTTTTTTTGCTTCCAGTTTCTTTGTTAGTTTTAGACTCGTAAAATAGTAGTTTGTTGTGACATTTTGTCCCTTGTCTAGGAAAGGCTCAAATAATATTAGTACAACATGTTCCAATAAACTTTCATTTTTTGGCCTTTTTTCGTCTCTCACAAGATACGGAATCCCATTTAGAAAGAATTTGGCATCAATATAGACTACAACCCAAAGCTTGATACCTTTTTCTGGCTTATTTGTCATATAATTAAGCAAGAATAATATAAAAGCTAACAACAATAAATACAAGTAATTTCTAAAAATGTTGATAACAATGCAAATAATTAAATTCTTTTTCATAATCATATAATTTATCATAAAATAATGATTTAAGTGTATTTTTATCATTCTGGTCAACTTGTCTGCAGCCATTGTTCTAGGTATAAAAGAAGAAAATGAACAAATGCAAAAGAAATTCTAGTGTGTATAATTTGCAGAGAAAATTCACTTAACTTGTCTGATCTTTCTTAAAGAAACCAGCTGAATACTGCATTTATTTCCTACAAAATTTTGAGAGTATATCTTAAGTCATAATTTTCTATCAATGGAGATTTTGAAGTACTCAGAATTTGTTGTCGAAGTGATAAGATTTTATTTTGGAAAATCATTCCCGTTGCTTCTCTTAGGTTCCCCACTGTTTGCTGGAAAAGTTTACTTAATAGAACTCCTTTTGGGGTCAGTAGTAACAACAGCAGAACCAGTACAGTCGTAGTCGTTGTAGTGGCAGTCGTCGAAGAGATCATGGACGCGATGGTGGTCGTCGTGTACGTTGGGGCGGTGGCAATTATAGTGTACGTTGTGGTGGTGGCAATTGTCGTGTACGTTGTGGCGGAGGGGGTCGTTTTGGTGGTAAAAGTACTAATGAAAATTAAATGGTCATCGACAACAAAGTCAGGAGACTCCTTAAAAAAGGAAACACATCTGTGTGCTTTGTAGGAATATAAACTGGTTCCACAAAATGAGGTAAAACCTGAACTTGCACAATTTGCCCAAAAAATGGGTGTCAATGAAGATTGCATAATGGAGGTTACTTCAGCTCGTTTCACAGAATTTAATGTGAAAAATCTTTCACCATTGTTCTTTTTTTATAATTTAATTTTAAAAAACATTCTTTACAGGATGCCATAGCAAACTACACTTCTCTACAGCCAAATATTAGAAATTACCTGCATATAAACTTCTTTCCTCATATGTGCACATAAATTGCAAAATCCAGATGCATCCACAAAGACAACTTCAAAATGTTCATGGAAATCACTTATCATTGGACCATTCGAGTTTGAGCCAAGAGATATACCGTCCTTTGTCCAATCACTTTGAGCTATAAGAGTGAAAGAGATAATTAGATTCAAATTGGCATGAAAATAATTCTAGCCTATTTATAGGAACTTACCTAAACAATTCCAAGTAACTCGTGCTACTTGGTAACTACTCATCATCTTGTTGAGTCGTCGGTTTTGTAAAAGGTATACAAGATACATAGCCATAATAAAACCACCAAAACTACCATAGCCCTGTGAATATACATCACATTATTACATGATATTCACATGTGCACAGATTCTCTTCTCCCCCATACATCACACACATTTTTTACAGTTTTATAAACTAAATTAAATCTAAATCTAAATCAAGAAACATGGACAATTTGACATTTATCTATATTAATCAATTTATTTGGGTGTATGAGCTTCAGTGGGATATACGTTATTCTTTAATAATAATAATAATAATAATAATAATAATAATAATAATAATAATAATAATAATAATAATCATCGTCATCATCATCATCATCATCTCAATTTCAATTGTTTCAATTCTGAAACTCTGAGGTATAGACATGCGCTAAAGAGGGCTAAGATAAATGCAGTGATGATAAAAGAATGGACACATTACTCTTGCAGAATATTATTAAATATCATTGGTTCAGCAAGTATTTCTTATTGTCTCAGGGAAATAAATTTGAAATATTTCGGAAGGTTACTTTATTGTAAAAGTCAACACTTGTCATGCTACAGTTGTTAATTCATAGACCTGGTATTTTTCAATAATTAATATGAAGTCTAATGTTAATTTATGACTTTTTGTGTTTTGCAAAAAGATTGTAGATACATAAAAAAAATTTTAAAAAAACTCCCCCCCTTCAAAAAATACCTTCAATTTAGAGTCAATTTCTCCTTGAATGGTTTTGGATGGTTCCCAAAATACTTTTCAAAAATCAAAAACAAACTGAAAATAGTTGTACAAGTGAAATGTCATCTATAATAAATGAAGTTTAATGGACAGAGGGGGTCCAAAACTGTACATGAGAGAATTATAGAGATGTACTTGTTCTCTGAACGATCTTGTTTAGATTGGTTCTAACCTTGTTATGTCTTTTAAATATAGTTAGCAATGGAAGACGAACAATGAAATTGAAATAAATATTGCTAAAATATTTAATTTCAATAAAAATATGACATAGCATCCTATACCTCCGATATAGAATTATGCAAGTGAACGGAACAAGTGATATTTTTTTTCTAACCTTGTCAAAGTTCCTCTGGCGCAACCAAACTTTCAACAAAATCAATCCTGCTTGTAGAGATGGAGTTGATAATTCTGATTCCAGCATTTCTTGGTTGAATTTCCAAACCAAGTCTTGTGCAACCCGGCTGTTGTAATGAGGTGATGGAGCATCAAGATGTTCTCCTGCAGAAGTTACTAACTTTATGAATTTGTAAATACATATATGCATCACCAAACATTGATGTTCAAAATAAAAACCATTGGCATTAATAATACATCTACCAAAAACCATTGATGTTTTTGAACATCAATATTTTAAAGCAGGTATAGCAAATTCTAACATTAAATTAGTGTGCAAAAAAATTAAATTTAACAGTGACCATGTTCATTAATTTATAATTAAGATTTAACTGAAAACAAGGCAAAAAATTAGACCAATGAACAAAACTAAACCTAATCTGTAATATCTAAAGGTATAGGACTTGTAATTTTGCTCTGTAAAGAGAGCATGCAAATGTTTCGCAGTTGAAAGTAATCGTCCTGCAGTACTTCTGAGTCAGAAAAGCACTGCTTTAGTACGCAGTGGTTTGAGTGAACTGGGAATGAATAGCATTTGAATAATTCTGAGTGTCTGAAATTGAAAGATGAGAACAGTTAGCAAGGCAGTTACGATCTAGTAATTTGTTTGAGTAGTGAATTTTGATGAAAGAATTGCTCTTGTGACCGACGTGCATTTCATTTATGAGCGCAAGAATGCAAGCCCAAATCGTGGATAAAGCACTCAAGAAGAGTGTAGGTGCTGCGGTTGAGGCGAAGCAGAAAAACCAGAAAAGGACATGGTAAGAAGACGGCTGGACGAGTACAAAAACAGATGACCCTACAGGATCGTGCTGAAAGTGACGTGGGAGGATTCGTGGCAGCCTGGAGCAGATCTCTGACCTCACACACAGCAGCTGTGTGTTCAAGGAGGCAACAAAGTGAGCGCGGGGGACCTTTGCAGCAGTCCTGGCAGCTGGCACAGGAAGACGATGAACGTAGTTTCATAAACTTTTGTTCTGAGTGTAACGATAGAAAACTGTGAAAAGATGTTCTATATCACCAGAATTAGTAAAGGAAGAGAAATAACTTATATTGTATCCATTGCAATTGAATATGATTTTCTAATTCAAAGCCACTAACCAGGAGAAAGTATATATTATACAGTATTAAATATTAAATTTTAATAACATGTAATGCTTTGTTTTCAAACTGAGGAATTCTCTTTGTCAAATAGAATAAGTAATTTTTGGATGGGACATTTTATTAAACTTGATGATGAGCAAAGTGGAATATGTGTTGTATGCAATTTATTTATTGGAAAATGTGAGTAAAATTAAATGTGATATACTAATGTACATTCAAAATAGGTATTACTAAACGAATTTGCATGGGATGCTATTCTAGAAACTTTGATAATAGTTTTACATGAAATAGTTTCTAAAAGGTATTTGAAACGACTTGATGCCCAGTGGCCTGTATGTGTTTTCTATTGTTTTCATGATAGAATAAATCACATTTTTTGCCAGAATTCACAACCTTTTTCACTTGTGATCATGAAGCCACATTTCTCCCTAAGCTTTTCAGGTTCACAAAATATAATTTATGGAAATTGTGACCGCAGTCGTGCGTGTGCGTGCGCGTGCGCGTGCGCGTGCGCGTGCGCGCGCGTGTGTGTGTGTGTGTGTGTGTGTGGTTTGTTAAGTGAACGCATGTAAATTTAGTTGTTGTTTTTTTCTCCTTTGATATCTTGCTTTCACAGTCAATTTCAGAATACACAAGTTTCAATGATTTATGTGCACTTAAGATTTCCTTTCTCACATCCGAAAGATCTTGCTGCCCTAAAAAATACAAAGCTCTTATTAACCATTCGTACTGTAAAACTGTAAAGCACTTGATAGATCCAAGAATTGTCATCGATGCGGTGAGGGAGGGCATTTTGTTGAGGCCTTAATCCTTCTAATTGTTGTCTCTGTCAAGGAAAAGAGAGACATGGATGCAACTGGTGGCAATACGTGTCCCTATTACCAAAAGGCTTTACGGAAGGGGTAAAGGAGTCGGAAGAACGATAATGAGTGCCTTAAGGCCCATTTACAATGCAAACATAAACATAAGCATGGCGTTAACATAAAAGTTAGGCCTACGTCCATAAGCCGACTCATTCACAATGCGTTCGCATAAGTATAACACGTAAGACGTTAACTTAAAAGCTTCAAGCTTCGGTGTTAATGCTTACATAAGACATCAGAAATGAACCAATCACAGAACGGTAACTCAAAATCGAGAATCAAAATTGGAGGGAAGTCTATAGTAGAACTACCGCCACATGGGACGTAGACACAGTCAATATCTTGAAATCGATTCTCACATCCAAACAGAAAGCCTCACAGGCAATAGAAACTTATTCTGCTTACGTTTGTGTTAGGCATTGTGAATACTTCAGTCTATCGCTTATGTTAATGGTTATGTCTATGCGCTATGCTTATGTTTACGTTTGCATTGTGAATGGGCCTTTAGAGCTACACCTTAATCATTGCGAGGCGGCGCAAGACCTCAACCAGACGGTGCGCGTGCTCAAGACGTAGCGATCCTAGTAGTATCGAAATATAAGCAGTGTTCAATGGGTTTCGGATGCGACTTACAGAGCTGTGGTGTGGATTTTTGGTAATAGTCCAGTCCAGGAGGTTAAGCAAGTCTCAGAGGTTGGATTCACCTCGATAAAGCGGTTCTTATCCAGGGGATTTTAGTGTTTATGCCGCACCCAGTGCGGCGCTCGAGGAGTTCAAGGCATTAGCCGATAGACTGCACGATGCGAGAGAACGAAGGCCATTAAATATTGCTGGCGATTTTCACGCATGGGCCACTAAGTGGGGCAGCAGGGTAACGAACCAACGTGAGATGACTCCTGGACAGCCTTGCTCAGTTAGACTGATTTACTGGTCACGTGGACTGGTCACGCACATTGCCAACGAGGTCGTGGCTGCGATCCGGCGGTGCGACTCCGGATGGCCGAGCATAAATCAGGGGCTGTCTTGGTGATAATCAGGAAAGTGAATGAGGGTATTACTCTCAATGTAGGGGTAGTGAAATAGCCTTCCACCAGTTCCTAAGATACTTACGAGTCCAGATAGACGCGAGACTGCGCTTCGACGAGCACTTGCGTATAGACTGCAAGAAAGCCTCCGCCTTGGCACGAATTATGCCTAACATTAGGGGTCCAAGACAAACTAGTTGGGGACTTCTGTCTAGCGCGGTGAACTCTATTCTGCTCTATGCAGCCCCCAATTGGGCTGAAGCCTTTGGGATCCGGTCGTACGCCCGCGGTGCAAAGTCAGTGTATAGGTCTGCCTTGAGGGTGGCCCGGGCGTTTCGTACGGTTTCGCACGACGCTGTGTGTGATAGCTGACATGCTCCCTATAGACATCATGACACAAGAAAGGACCAGGCTCTACAGACGCGAGCGCGAGGGAGCTACAATTAGGAGCGTCATCATGAAGGAAGAGAGGGTCGTGACAATGACCCAGTGGTAACGGCGATGGGTTCTGTCATCCACTGGTAGATGGATTTGTCTTATTCCATACGTAACGATATGGACTCAAAGAAAACACGGAGATGTGGATCGTTATTTGACCCAGTTGTTAATGGGGCACGGGAAAAACCGTGCTTACCGCCAGTTTCCGGTTAGAGGACGACTCCTCATACCCACCCTGTGACCTATTAGTTAAAGATGTGGAGCACGTATTCTTTCACTGACCACGCTTGGTTGAGGAGAGGGAAGAGACCCTATCGACTCCCCATGCACATAGTGACTCCTGAAACCATCGCCACCAGGATGCTGGTGTCGCAAGAGAATTGGAGTGCGGTAGCTACCTACGCCGCAATAGTTTTAAAGAAGCATCGGGTAGAAGAACTACTGCGAAGGAGTATCCCGTGATTCATTTGGCATAGAGCGACAAGACCATCTGTCCTTCCCGTGATGCAATGAATGACGGCGGTTCCGAGGGAAGGGAATCGGAGGAATAGGAGGGGTTTTTAGTGGGTAAGGCAAGCTGTGAATCCCACACGCTGCGGAGTGCGGGCGTCACGGCGATCCGAGTCCTTGAGAACCAAATAGAAGGGATAGAAAACAAAAAGCAGAGGGCAAACTTCGATTTTCAGATCGAATAACTTTTGTTAACTCGATATTAAATTTTTTTTCTACTTGCATCAATTTTACTACAGTAATAAACTTACAAAAAACTACATTCTTTAAAACTCTATTATTTTATTTCTTATTCTTATTATTTTTATTATGAATTTAAATTATAAATATATAACCATTTCTATTAAATTGAAAATTAATTTGGGCAGTGTTACATTAACTATAATTTTATAAATCAAGCACTGTGTGTTCAGGTAGCATTGATTAGTTAATAACAATTAACTAATCAATCTAGTTAAGGCTGATTAGAAATTAACTGAAAATATTAGCTTTGTTGCTCATAAAACTAAAAGTTCCCTGATAAAGTTCATAATAATTCTAATTATTTTATTAAATTTATATTCATGAAATTAAATTTTAAAAAGGAATTGATTCATAAAAATAGTTACCTGAAATGTGTGATTGAAAGAACCAATTGGAGCGAATGTTTCCTCGTCCAGGTCGTAATCTTGGCAGTACCAACGCAGAAGGGCTTGTTACAGGCCATAATAGGATTCTGACATGGCGGCCCAACTTGCCTGATGGTTTCAATTCAAGGAGAGGTTTGAAAATGCATCCATTTGCTTCTACAAAGTTTATCTCTTCAATTAGACTGCTTCCATTTAAAGATTCAGCTAAGATAGTAAGATAAAATGCTCTTTTACGATCAAACCGAAGATTGATTTGATCAGTTTTCTGATTAAAGAATGCCTGAAAAATGTTTAAAATGTTAATGTAACACACACATACATTAGGTGGCCAAATTATTAGGGAGAGTACATGTATTTGTGTAATTTATAGTTCAAATAGTTGTTTAGCTAAAGATTTGGTTTCGATAATATTTCTATCATTTGTTATCATTACTATTGTTTTTAATAAGTGACAACACTGGATGCCTGTGTTATTTCTTAAATACATCATCACACATTCATCCATTCCATCGCACACTCACAAAACATCACTACTTAGCAACAAGAGAAGTAAAAGAAATGTCACTGGAATTAACTGTATCACATACTCCAATTTGTATAAATATTCTGTCCATTTAATATTAAATAGAATCTGTTTGACACTTTTTAATTTTAATTTAATCGGCTCTGAATGTCATATGTATGTACATGGCACATAGTAAGATGTAACGGGTACTTCTCTTTATTGCTCTGTGAAAGTACATTGTTGGTAATTATCTACAGCTGATTGTCACATGCTTGACGTGTAACACTCTAGCAGACGCTGCAGCAAAACATCAAGTAAACAGTTCTATTGCATTTAATTTCTCAGAATCATCCCAAAGTTCCACTTCGTAACTTGCCAAACCTATTTAGAATGTTTCAGAGATTTAATTTTATTTTATTATTTTTTTTTTAATTCCAAATTTTTAAAGTGCCAACTTTTGGGAGAAATTAAAAAATAAAAACAGTCACAAAATGGTATTAAAAAAATTAATGAATTCAATATATACATCAAACGATCATCTTTTGTTCATTAACGTAGTAAAATATTTCATTTCTGTCACAATTAAAACACAAGTTAAAAATGATTAACTTTAGCATTGTCTTGAAAGTTTGAAAATTAACATAATTTCACAAAATAATACTTGATAAAAAATTAAATACAGGGGTTTTATATTTTTGCTTATACTCTTCACAGAAACAAAAGTTTTAAAATATGGGACCACAGAGTCAAATTTTCCTTAACTCTGTGTGATTTGACATGGAACGACCCTTAAAGCAACTACTGCAGATGATTCATAAACTAGTTAACAAAATAAAAATAAACTAATGGCGCTACAACAGCACATATTTTCTCGAAATATTACAATGTTATTGTTACGTATGATGGAACGCCCAAAATGTTTCATTAACTTCAAACAGATATTATGCAAAATCTACTAACTTATACACAAAATTGTACCTAACCTTCTTTAAAGAGCTAATTTTGTACAACAGACTTTGTCCACGGCAAAAATCTCTACTTTCTATATTCTGAAAATGGGATTATTATCATATTTCTTATCATTTCTTATTACATATGTGGAGAAGAGTCTAAGAAAAAATTGGAAGCAGTTTTTGAGGGAAAAAAATTGCGTAAATTTCAAACGCAAATTATGCAAAATCTACTTGTTTTTTTAAAAATTCAAATTACATCCAACAGACTTTGTTGGAAGCAAAAATCTCTATCTTCAATTTTGTAGTTTAATTTTTGTTGTTGTTGCAATTTGTGAAAAAGCCTTTTGAAAGAGCCTTTTGTTTTTAATTTT